GTTTGCAAGGACTTGTATTAGGGTTCCAACACAGAATCAACTGACTTTGCTGCAAATGTCTTTGTTTGTCAATGAGAAAACAGTCATCAGGATTTTCAAAGGGCATCAACATTTTCAGATGCACCAAAAGGGACCTTTGTAGTGGCTCTAAATCTTCCACTGATTTTCCCTCAATGGTTGTAAATATCCTTGAAAAGGCTTGTGAATTGTATCACAGTAGTCCAGGGGAAATGTTTACTCATTTCTCAGCTGAGAGATTTCTGTAAACAATAGATCCCCACGAGAAAGCCAGATTCCCAACGTGGTTGAAAAATAGTTCACGATACTTGCCAAATTGGAGAGTTTGGCAATGCTATTCTTCTCTCGCTGACAGGGACTATTTCCTCGTTCAGAGAATGAGATTGGTTCAGACTTACACATAAAAGCAAGAGCAATATGCTCACTTTGGGCCTCATAGTTTAGGAGCCCATTGGGCTTTATTACGCCTCAAGGTCTGCCATTTAGCACCTACTGAATTAAAGGTCGATAGCTAGCGTTTGTCTGCTTTACAGGAAGCACATACAGAAATCCCAAGGGATATAAAATTTCTAATTTGGCCATTTTGTCTGTGGATGACTTTGTGGACTCGTTTGTTTGTTTGTTTACTTCAATGTGGTTACTCATTTTGTATTTCTTCTTCAGGAATGTATCAGTACATTTAATTTGAAAGCATAGAGGATCATGCGATGGATTTAATTATATCCTTTCAAAACAGTGGTTCTCAACCTTCCTAATGCTACGACCCTTTAATACAGTTCCTCATGTTGTGGTGACCCTCCCCCCCAACCATAAAATTATTTTCGTTGCTACTTCATAACTGTCATTTTGCTACTGTTATGAATCGGGTGACCCCTGTGAAAAGGTTGTTCGACTCTCAAAGGGGTAGAGACCCACAGGTTGAAAACCGCTGTTCCAAAATATGGGTTGCAAATCTTAATCCCTTTTCCTGTGATTATAATCCCATGTAGGAGTGTGGTTTCTATGTTGAATATACTCAAAACAAACTCACTGCAATTAACTCAACACTGATTCATCGGGACCCAAAGGGGCCTAGAGAACTCACCCTATGGGCTTCTGAGGACTGTAACACTTCGGGGTCTCATCTTTCTCCCACAGAGAGGGCTAGTGGTTTTGAACTGCTGACCCTGAGTCAGTACACACTCCGTGGAAATGAGATAACTAAAGCAGATGGTATGTTCTAAGTAGTGTTTTCAAAAGTAAAGTTGGCCCCAATCCCAACTATGTGGACAGCTCCCCTCCCCTCACAAGAATTTACTTCAGAGGACAGCACTGAAGCTACAGCTCAGGGGAGGGACATGTCTGATCAGAGCACACAGGAGCAAATGATGGGGGAGGAAGAGAGAGTGGAGCACAACCTGGCCCACCAAGCCTTGAGGATGATATCCCTGTTCAGAGCAGCCAATGCACAGAGAGGACCATATGGCCAGCCTCACTACAAGACATGCCATCCCTCACTGACGCATAGCCCTGCAGGGGACAACACTAGAGACATTGGGTGGGAACTGCACCTGATCTGACCCCACCAGACCGAGGCAAAACACTAAAGGCAGGCAACAGAACAGAAAGGGTAGCAGAGCAAAGAAGTCTGGAGGGAGTACCAAAAATAGACTTTGGGGCCAGGTGTGGCACCCCATCATACTCAACTGGAAAACATTCCTAAAGGTCAACAAACAGACCATGAACTATTTAAAGGCTTTTCTTTTTTTGTGTGTGATTGTTTTTTGTGGTGGTGGTGGTGGTGGTTTTGTTTTCTTTTGTTGCTTTGTTTTGCTCTGTCTTGTTTTTGTGCATATTATTATCTCTGCAGGTCTATCTAGATAAGATAAGTGGGATAACAATCTGAAGAGAAAATAAAAAGACCGAAGGTTCTGGGGGACATGGGAGAGGGAGATGTGGGGAAAATGAAGT